ATAATTTATATTTACTTGCCAAAAGAAGATAAGATATTGGAATTGAGTCCGGAGAGATATATAATCAACATGGAAATCTCGTGCTGGCTAGAATATTGGTTTGAGTACTGTATTATTAAACTGTAAAAGATATCATTTTACGAGAAACTGTAAATTCTTAATTATAAATTGCATGTTGGTTTTCGTACGTTTTGAAACACAGCATACGGAAATGTGTTTGAAATAGCAAATTACACTTTTACACAGTTATTATGCTCAATAACGGTTTTTAGTATTGAGAGTGTCGTTGTTGTAATATAATAAAGATCTTGACACACTACTATATGAACGGGAAATAAACATTTATATGATCGAATGTCTTAAAGTAAACATGTAACGTAAGTCAAAGACATTTTCACAAAGTAACAAACTGGATGTCAAGATTTTTCATCACTATCAAAATCATCAGTAGTTATTAGTTGCTTTAACTTTGTAGCATCTGCAAAATATGAAATGATTTTTACCTTGATATAGCTATGTTATTGGGGTCAGTTATTTGTTTTGTATTGGAACTGAAAGAAATCATGACGAGATAGTCGAACAGGTTATGTCGACAATTCTATTCCTCTGAAGTAGATTTTAGTCAGCAAAATGACTAAAAAAAACAAAAACAAAAACACAACAACATATAAACGATTGTTTTTCATACATAAAATTTTGGTTCGGTTTACTTCGGTTAAAGATGTACTATGCACACATTTGATTTTTAAAAATATTGATAATTGAAACAAAGTCTCTTTGTTTTGTATGTATAAAATAAACAGGTTTCGGCTCAATTCAAAGTAGATATGTTATATTTTGAACTCTACACACTACAGGTGGTCACAATATGAATATATAGTGTCATTAAAAAACTGGCAGTTTTTTAAAGGAATACCAAATTTCATTGACCCGTAATAAGGAATGCTGCTTCCAATACATAGTTTCTTCATTATTTAATTCAAATTAAACATATTCAGTAAGAATTTCATTGATTTCAATACATTTCTAAGATAAAAATATTTTACACCAAGATGAGCATAGAATATCTTTAAGTAAATCTATGAATAAAATTCTACCTATTGGACAATTTCAATCATACAGACGCCATGATCAGAACGTAAACAGAGTGTCAGTTCAAATAAGCAGCAATCATTTTATTTGATTTTTAAAGTTCTACTATGTCCAGAATCCGTGTCGTAGATATCGTGACGTTTCTAAAACAGCAGCATAATTGATTCCATTACTCAGTTATCATCGTCAACATATTTTTATTTACTTGCCAAAAGAAGATAATATTTATTATTATGATATTAACTTGTATCCGAAATATTTATGATCAACATGGAGATCCTGCGCTTGTAGAAATATTAGTTTCCGCAGTGTTTGTTTGTTTGTTTCATTTTTACGCCTTTTCCCAACAGTATTTCAATTATATATGCGGCTAGTTTCCTAACCATCGCTCCTGGAGAGTTACACCAGTACTAAACTACCTTCCTTCGTTCCGCAGTGAAAACTCAAAAATGATTTGTGTTATTTTTGTTTATCGAATTCAGAATTGTTGACATTTTTGTTTACAAATGTTGACACATTTTGTTAATCGAATTAAGTAATGCTGACATAAATGGGTCTTTTAATCATAATTATGAAAGGTTTTAATTCGATATGCGTCATAGTTGATTAAACAGGATATAATCTAACGAGAAACTTTCATCTCCTAGATAGGATGATAGTTTAGATACTTTCACAGAACACTGTGTCGATTTTTTTTCTGAAATTAAACCCTTTCTATTAAAAAAAATTAAGCTAAGATATGCAGCTAACATGAATATAAATGGAACACTGTAATAATAGTGACGGGACAATTTTATTAAATCAGATGAATTAAAAATGTTGTTTATTGCTACATCATATCAAATGATTGCAACACTTTTTATCAATTGACCAGACGCCAAACGCATTATCGCTCCGCCCACTAAGTCACGTGGTATAGAAAAACAAAACCTTGGACAAACATTATCAAAATGGCTACCGCAGCGAAATTACGAGAAATTCCAGGAGATATTAGCGAGAAATATTTACCATATACCGTAACTTTGAGACAACGACAGAAGGCAAGAAAGTTTTGTGTAGAGGCTTACATCAGCAGTGTAAGAATATTTAGAGAGTCAGAAGAAGAATTAGTTGTGAAATCGTGTACGTTTAGGAGCCAGAAGAAAACAGAGGAAGGTTATACAACGCTGATTACAATAGACTGTAAACAGAAAATGATCACCGAAGCATTTTGTAAATGCAAGGCTGGGTAGGTTAATTTATACTTTCTTTTAAATTTCATCTTGTTCTTGTACAATATGTTATTCCGTACAATGTTTACCAGTGTTTACTTAGTCCTAATTATAAGACCTATACGTAACCTATTTCATATTTATCATTCATTAATCTGATATTTTACATTTTTCATTTTCCATGTTACGTTAGGTCTTAACAGATCTTTGCAAAATCGTGTAGCAAAAAAAATGACATTAGACATCGATTTAGATCTAATGAATTTAAACAATTAAAACAGCCTGTATTTACATTAATTTTGACCTATTTATAAACAAAACTAAAAAATAAATACCTTTTAACAAAATAATTTAACTGTCACATCCGAAAAGTCATGATTAAATCCTCTCATTTAATTAAATTCCTTGTACAGCCGATATACAAATGGCCGCCACAAAGTGCGAGAAATCTGATTGGCTAATACAAATGCAAGCGTTTAAATGAGTCCAGAAGTTTCTAACGGAATATTTTTTTAACGAAATAATTGCCCATGCACCGTCAGTGTGTTCGAATATATTTTTCCGTTCAAAAAATTGGAATCAATCTGTAAAACGCTTTACTTAACCAGTATGGCCGATGAGCGAAATAGACTGATATTTCTATTTTATTTTTAATTGGTAAGTACATTGTTTGAAAGTTTTTGTTAATGATAGACCATGCAATTGAAAGAACAGAAGATAAGCTTTTGAATAAAGCTTGAAAGGCAAGCCAACAGACATTTTTTTTAATTTTTCAAAATGCTACGCGTTTATGAGCAATAACTATTAGACGTCAGGCTTGACCAACATAAAACTATAACAAGCCTGTAACGTCTAATCTATTGGACTAGTGTTTACTCAATAGTCAATACACGGCGACATTTACACACCCAGTATGCAATAGAAAACACGCGATCGGTAACGTGTGTATTGTACTGTGTTGTACATGTATACATGAGTGTGTATATACGTTCTGTGTAATATCGGTAAATCTTACTGCTCTGTAACTTGGATAAAATAAAATTTACATGAAAAAAGGTAAACAAATATTAAACTGTCACTGTGTAACATCGATTTAATTTTGCATTAGACTAGTATCTTTTAAAATAGTTTGTAATCAAAACAACATGTTACTTAGATCTACCAACATTTGCCCATCGTTTGTAAACAGTAAAAATTCAAACCAATTTTATTTCATTGAAAGACAACTTGATGTTTAAAAAGTAAGCATTAATATTGATGCATTTATGCATTTTATCTATTTGTTACATGGCCAAAACTTAAGTGTTTTTAGCTCGACTATTCGTAGAATAATCGAGCTAATGCAGTCACCCATTTGTCGGCGACGGCGTCGGCGTCGGCGTCCCTGTGGTTAAGTTTTTGTATGTAAGCTGGTATCTCCATAACTACTGAAGGGAATGGATTGAAGCTTCACACACTTGTTCTCTGTGATTATCTAAGATGATTGGCACAAGTCCCATAACTCTGATTTGCTTTTTTACATAATTATGCCCCTTTTTCGACTTAGAAATTCTTGGTTAAGTTTTTGTATGTAAGCTGGTATCTCCATAACTACTGAAGGGAATGGATTGAAACTTCACACACTTGTTCTCTGTGATTATCTAAGATGATTGGCACAAGTCCCATAACTCTTATTTGCTTTTTTACATAATTATTCCCCTTTTTCGACTTAGAAATTCTTGGTTAAGTTTTTGTATGTAAGCTGGTATCTCCATAACTACTGAAGGGAATGGATTGAAACTTCACACACATGTTCTCTGTGATTATCTTAGATGATTGGCACAAGTCCCATAACTCTGATTTGCTTTTTTACATAATTATGCCCCTTTTTCGACTTAGAAATTCTTGGTTAAGTTTTTGTATGTAAGCTGGTATCTCCATAACTACTGAAGGGAATGGATTGAAACTTCACACACTTGTTCTCTGTGATTATCTAAGATGATTGGCACAAGTCCCATAACTCTTATTTGCTTTTTTACATAATTATGCCCCCTGACTTATAAATTCTTGGTTAAGTTTTTGCGTGTAAGCTGGTATCTCCATAACTACTGAAGGGAATGGATTGAAACTTCACACACTTGGTCTCTGTGATTATCTTAGATGATTGGCACAAGTCCCATAACTCTGATTTGCTTTTTTGCATAATTATGCCCCTTTTTTATCTTAGAAATTCTTTGTTAAGTTTTTGCGTGTAAGCTGGTATCTCCATAACTACTGAAGGGAATGGATTGAAACTTCACACACTTGATCTCTGTGATTATCTAAGATGATTGGCACAAGTCCCATATTTCTGATTTACTTTTTCGCATAATTATTCCCCTTTTTTGATTCATAAATTCGTGGTTAAGTTTTTGTGTGTAAGCTGGTATCTCCATAACTACTGAAGGGAATGGATTGAAACTTCACACACTTGTTCTCTGTGATTGTATTGAAACTTGAAGGGTTTGTACCTTTTCGTACAATTTTATGTATTCATATAGGTAAGCATTATTATACTCAATGAAACACCCTTGTGACAAATTTTCGAATAGTCGAGCGTTACTGTCCTCCGACAGTTCTTGTTTTTTTTCCATTTCCAGTACATCTGGTGAATGTGCACATGTTCTTGCTGTGATAATGAAGTTAGCAGACTGGCTTATTGAGGGGTTAGAGGTACCACTCTGCCACAACAGTGGGATAAGCCCCGTGGACCAAAAATTCAGCCAGAACCAATCAACTATGGTCATAGCCAAACCAGGAAATGCTAACAGAAAGAGGAAACCTCTCACACCTGTATTTGATGATAATAGGTATTTATAATTTTAATGTTTACATAATATAAAGTTTTGTTTTAATAAATGTGATTTCTTTAATCCGAATTTAATGACTAATAAATCAAATAAATAAATATGAATAAATAATATCTGGTTTTTTCTATGATTTAATTATTATCAACCCAAAATTTACAGTTTTTCAGCATGCAACAAATAGTCATAGTAAAATATTACAAATGAAAAGTATAAGTGTTTGATATTTTCTATATAAAAACTAAAATCTAATCCTGTTTTTTACAGGAAAATTTCACTTCACAGCACAGATGTTACATTCTTACAATCACTTCAAAACTGTCCTTTATCATATTTGTCTACAATGCCTGAAGAGACAATACAGACAGACTGTGGTAAACAGTACCTTGGATCAGCTCTGGCATATCAGGTTTGTAATTCATAACTTATTCCTGTATAAGAAATGGCATAAATCCAGTGAGGAAACAGCAACAAAACCATATTTGATTTATACATGGAAACAAGCTTAGGTCAATTCTGTTATCAACTATTTTGAATTTTTTGGCTCTAGAAATAGCTCTTTCAACATGAACTCTGTGTGCTGCTATCTTTTTTGTAAGTTTAACATCACCAGCTGACATTTGTCCTGCGCCTGGCGCAAATGGTGGTATGTACAGTTTCAGCCCAAGTTCCTCAATTTCCTCGCGAATAAGAAACCCCTTATCAACCATTACACCATCTCCTGATTTAAGCTTTCCACTATCAAGAAGCTGTTTCAATAATTTAAGTAAACCACTTTGCTTTGTAATTTCCTTATCTGATATAGACCCAGAAAATAACATTGAAATGAAAGTGAAAGATCCTCGAGGGTCTATACCAACAAGTCCCTTTAGTGTTGTTGCTGACTTATAGTCAGAGTAGCACTGACTTTGACTGCGCATTGAACTAGGACGTTCCACTTTTAACTCAGTTCCGTCTAATATTACAATTGTTGTTGGAAAATCAGCCATGAATTTTTCGGGCATTTGCATTTGAATTATTTCTCTATCTGGCCATATTGACACTGACCCAAATCTGTAATACATATAGTTTATCCATCCACGAAATAAAGCTCCTGCATCTTGTGGTGAAATTTGAAATAAATTTGCTATGTGTTTAAATTCAAAATTTAAACGCAATTTCACAAGGGTTAACAATAACTGGTCTTGTAATCTTATTGTTTTTTGGCTAGATATTGTCTTCGGAAAATTAATAGGGGTCTCACCGCTGTAGGGAACTAAAAATTTATATATATTCATGAACTGTTCAGGTAAAACCTGTGTAAAATTTAAATTTTTCTCTTACTGGACTGTCCCGAAATGACTCTACATTGAAATGACATTTCTTTTGTACATTATCGTCAAATTTGGTGTTATATCAAGGTTTTTTAGTTGTAATTTTCCTTCTTAGATTTTTATTTTCTAGGACCTGTTGTGCCATTGATTTAGTCTTTGTAGACAATTCCTCTTTCAGAGCACTATTTTCAAGCAACTGCTCTGCCATTTTTCTTTTTAATTCCATATTTTCAGCTGCCAAGGCCAACATGTCTAATGGTGATATCATTGCTGATTCTGTAAAACATAAAAAATCATGTGAAATATAAGTTTAATAATAAGCATTGTAAAATATTTTGCAGGTTCCACTCATGCAGCCATTAGAGCTACAGGGTCACAAAACTGATTGTGGAAATCTATCAATGCCATTCCAGCCAAAAATAGAAGTACCGGACCTGGTGTTAAATAATAGTGATAAATGGGCTATGTTGGTAAAATCTCAGGAAGAAGCAGAGGCCTTAGAAATGTCCACCAGAGATCAAAGCCATTCAACAGTATGGCATAAAGAAAGAGAGAACAGAATCACTGCCTCAACATTTGGGAATTTTATGATTCGTAAAGCTGATTTAAATGATAAATTTGTAAGAAACACGATACAGCCCTTCAAAGTCCTTCAAATCTGTGCCCACTTCATATGGCAAAAATAGTGAAAGAGTCGCCATCAACATGTATCGAAAAAAAACAAAGAATCATGTACATGAATGTGGATTTGTAGTGAATCCCCTATTTCCATTTCTTGGTGCAACCCCGGACGGGAAGGTCTGTCAAAATGGACAGTCTGGTATATTGGAAGTAAAGTGCCCCTATATGATCAGAGACTGGAACATTTTAGATGCGTTAAGGAACTTTGAAAAAAAGAATAACTTGTTTGTTGAGGAGGTAAATGGAGAGATATTATTAAAGCGCACACATAAGTACTGGTACCAAGTACAGGGACAGCTTTTAGTAACAGGGGCAGAATTTTGCGATTTTGTAACTTTTACAAAGAACGATCTTAATGTGGAAAGAATTTTTATCCAAATAAAACTGACATGAAAGAAATATTAAGTAAAATGTCTGCAGTATATGTTGAGTATGCTAGCAAACTCTGAACTCACCATTGACATTGTCATTTTTCAAATGCATATTTGTTACAGATTGAGGTTGATCTGTTGTTACTCCTTGAAAGTTGTATTGCTGGCTATTTTCTTCATCACTGAAATGTTTATCAGTTCAAATCATATTATCACAATTACCTTATGATTCAATAGAATATTCTTATTTTGGCAAAAAATGTACATGTATCTCTTGTTAAACTTTTACAATTATAACTATCAAATTAACTTTTAAAAATGTTACTGTTATAATAAAGTTTACCTACAGGTATATTTAATGCACATTTTACACTTGAATATTGTTTAAGTTATGATTAATATACATGTTTACATGTATGTGTAAATACTTACTTAGTTTGTAATTGTGATAGGATTTTGCGCCGCTTTTTGGGAGGCTCTGACATAGGTCTAGGTTTTGGTGGAGCTCTGCATGGTGTGTGCTTAGCTGCTGAACCTGTACAACTGTCTGCTGGATAAGGGTCGGGGTATTGCTCAGATGGCCCTCTTTCAGGGAAATGCTGCAATCAAATTGTTATAGCTTACTGTATTAAAACTTTTCTGTTGGTTTATATCCTTTTTGCAGAAATAAAATATGTTTAACAGGAAAATGTGTTGTTTTATCTTTTAAAGATTTTTTCATTTGTGAAAATTTGTCTGAACCAGATATTTTACAATAATGAATTATTGCATATAAGCTCCCAAAATTGGGTATAGACTTCCAGTTAGCGTGACTAGTTAAGTAGGAAACAATTAACTGTATTAATTTGAATATGATTATGGCCAGCACACCAGTGTGAGGGTGAACGGTCTTGGTACGAAATGTCTGTCACCCAGTCCACTTTTTCACATATTCCAAACAAACATATAGACTGAGCGTAGTCAGTGCAACTCGTGACAGAATGGATTCCATTCAGCTGCTGAAAGTATTTCAAATTTGTCGAGGCCTTATGCAAAATTAAATACGCCGTCTGAAACAAAACCGGCCATGAAAATGATAAGCAAAAACATTATACCCCACCCACTTTCAGGAACATTTTCCTAGTCTACACGGTTTAGAACTTAGAAAATTATACAAAAAACAATTTAAAAAAACTTCGTTCTTTCCTTAATTTGTTCATACCTTAGTGCACACATATAAATTATAATTCCCGTCAATTTTCTCTACATTTAGTTGATCGTGAAGACGTCCACAAGCCTTGATCCAGCGTAGGCACCTTTCACGGTTTCTTTTAGGCTTCGGAAACGGAATAAACTTGATTTCCCCTACTAATCGATCAGGGAAACGAGAATCTGACTTGCATAGTCCCCATTGACATCTTTTAACCATTTTATTTTGATTTTTCACGATAAATTTATGAAATTCTAATACATCGGATAATTCGTCGCCGTGTTTCTTGGAACCGTAATGTCTAAGGGTAATGTCTAAGGTAACACCGCTTGGGGGTGTGTGAAAATCGTAATCGCTGATTGGCTAAACGGATATCATTTTATCGATTTGATTGACAGCTGGCGTCTGGTCAATTGCTCTTTAAAAGTAACATTATTATTTTGCTTCATATAAGGTAATAATTATTTTATAGTAGTGGGAGAATCATTATTGAAAGGTAGTTAACGTAAAAATGTCGCTGAAATATATGAACGGGAAAATTTACATTGAAATAACTATAGGTTTGTGAAAATGTTTACATTTACAAAATTCCTTTCAAAACACTTGATCCTAAGAAGTTGCAATGTAAGATAACGACAATTTGATATTAATGATAAACATGTCAGTCATCAGTTCGTGAAAATTGTCTGCATATTATCAATCAAATTGACTGCTGTATAATTTGTTTACCGACTCGGATAATGTCGACATAAATAGGACTATCAATCTCTGTTATTTTGATACGCATAAGATTTGATCAGAAAACTTTTTTAGCACCACAGTGTAGTAGAAGACAAGAAAACGATAATCGTCACTAACATAGAGACATATTTTATTACATGAATTCCTTCAAGGAATTAAACTTCATGTGGTGATTGTGTGTGCTTTCTGGTTATTGATAATACAAGTATAAACAATACATGCACCATTATCAATTAGTCAATCGTATTTTTATAGAATAATTGATGAAATGACTCAATAACATGTATATAAATGATATTAAGTCAAATGTTTTACATAACCGTTACAAAATGTGAATAAACAAGTTTCTTAAATACATGCAAATCTCTGATATGGTAATCAAACCTAGCATCATTATCACAACTAGCTATAGCAGGTTAGGATAATTTTTGCCTGTTGTTATTTGATTTAGTATACTGTTAAATATAATGACATTGTTTAGAAATGATTTATTTAGTTTTCATGTTGTTAATTATCATAAATATATATGCTATATTTACAATAGCCGAATGTTTTACCAGGAAGCTAACACCATTGTGTTTGTATCCGCATTGTTCATCATTCATACATTTTAATTTAATATAACAGTCGACTGATATATTAATCAAATTGTAGGACTTGCTTATGCAAAGTGATTGTCAAAATCCCTGAACAATTAATCAGTGGAGTAATAAAATGCGGCGTCAATTAATCTCACAATTCAATTAAGCAGGATGGATGTTGACGTTCATGTGTTAAAACTGTAGTTGTTATCATAAGAAACATTATGCCGGAGAATAAACTCAGATAAAGATACATAACAGCTTGTTATTTTGTGTCTTGTCAGCGCGGCTTGTACGTTGACATTTTTGCGAAACATGAAGCCTAAAAAAGCAGTTCTTCCTAAAACTCAATGTTCACATAAAATATAATTAAAAATACATAACTACACATTTTTACAGGATATTGCATCATAACAATATATATTTATTTGCATTATTAAGAAAGTTTTAAGGTGAAATACGTACATTTCAGCGTAGAAAAATAGTTTTGCTAAACTAAACTAAGGGCTGCTGCATTTATGTACTTATGCTGTGCGTTCAAAAGACAAAAGCTGAGAAACATTGCAGCATTCTTGAAATTGAATAGTCTATGCATTACCAATGAAAAATAAAACAAACATTTCTAAATGAAGATGTTGCCCACAGAAGCTTGAACAATATCATGTATATGACTGTAGATCTTAATTTATGTTATACTGACACGTGATTTATACCTGTAAACTAAAAATGTTATAAGATTATAGAGAATATTAACTTGCTGTTTTATAGGCACATGAACAAATTAATGCATATAAAAACATTTATGTTATAACTTAATTAAGTTATTTGTTAGTTTACTATACAGAAATCTAGCCTAAGCTCTGACGCGATTCAATATAATACGTAATGTTACAAGACAACTGAACTAATAAATGCTTATACGTATTAAAATGACGACCAAATTGTAAAAGAGCTAAAGAGACGCTGACCTGTAGCATTATGAATTTGAATGATAGAAATACCATTATGTAGACGTAACCTTTTTTACTTTCCTATTTCTAAATTTTAATCATAATTGCATTGGTGACATTAAAATGTTATTTCTTATTAATTTTTCAATATCTATAATATAGACCTTTAATAATTGTAACTTTAACGAAATATTTTTATAATGTCTGATAATACTTATCGGCTTACAAATGTGAATATCATAATCAAATTAATGTTGTCTTAATCCTTCATGTTTACAATGCAAATATAAAGAATAAAACACAGCAATGTTGATAAATCTGCTTTATTTTCTATATATTATATAAATATTATTCATTAGCAAACATTTTGTTTCGACGGAGGCTGCGTAAATACCTCAAAACAATGATACCGTTATTTGTTATTCATCCACAAAACGATATCTATGACGTTTTGTTTGGTAGAGAACATTGCATAAGGCCAGACTGAGTATTAATTATTTTAACATCTCAAAACTTTTCCGGGGGATGGTTTATTCAACTGCATTAATTATTATATTTGTGTGTAACCAATCACGACTAAGTATAAAATGAAGGCAGCTTCATAAATTTAGATAAAAACGTTTTCAGATATGTCTACATTTTGAAGAAGTTAATTAACATATTTAATATATTGCTTTTCATATGAAAATGCTGTTTTTATGTCCTTTATATCTTTAATTTGTTTCCGTGTTACACTCAAGTGTTCCAAAGGTAAGCGTGGTTGAACATGAAATAATATTCCTAAATATATACGACTGCCCTTTGCAAATAACTCTATATAAATCATAACAAAAGATATAAATCTGATATTCTTACCATTTTTGTAAGCATCAGGTGACTGTATTAATTGTTTCAGTAATCGTAGACCCCTTTGCCAATACCGCAAAAAGTAGCATTACGAAAATTTTGCTGACTATGAAATAGACATTTTATTAAAGAAAAGTTAGGCAAAGTATAATTGATTCATGTTTTATCTTTTTCAGTTTAACGTGCTTCGAAATCATATAATGGCCGTTTCGATAAATACATGGATAGTTTAATAGTGTGATGATTATTACAACAAACTACTGGAATATGAGCATCAAAATGTTGGAGTCTGATTTGTCAGTCACACGAGACAGTGCAAGCGATAGAATGCATTATAGTTTTTCCGTAAAAACAGGATCTATCAAAATAGCATTGCTTACTTGTAGCATATATCCTAAGATTGTTATTTTGCTTGTTTCCTTGAATAGCATGTACGACATAAGATATGAACTTGTGTTGTTAAATTTTTGATGGTTGTGATCAACTCAATTCTATCACCAATTATATATATTGTTTGTTTACATAACCTTTTAATTAAACAATTTTTGAAATTTAATTCAAAATAACTCTGAAAATGAGGATGTTGCTTGACTTAGTGTCTTAAAAACTATAATCTGTGTTTTATACGGTAACTAAACCAATGTATTATACGGTAAGAGACATATTCCAATTATACAGTTGAACTGTAATAAATGTTATTCAGATGAAAAGAAAACGGACACTATATATTGTATTTATTGTTTATTACCAAACCAAGTGCAAAATCGACCTAAAGAGGAATTGACGGTGAAGGTCTCAAGCAAATTATTTGACTGATTGGTAACTGAATACTGTCATAATATTCCTTCATCTGCATAAATACCGGACAATCTTCCTAGTTGTCACGAAATAAGTAAAATGTGACATTTTCAGTTTCGATGTAACTTCTATAATACATCATGATATAAAGTGATGGACCACAATATATTTAATTTGAAAATTTTGATTTCCCGAAAATATACACTTTTAAATATAGACATAAAAATAGACAATAATTGTACAAATCATAATATTTCATGAAGGAAATTATGAAAACAGAAGATAATGTTCATTAAACGTTCTCTTCTTATTCACTCATTAAAAACATGTCGAATGAATCAAAATATATGTGGTATAAAACTATAAAACATAAGCGCAAAAACTACAAGGATAAACATTAAATTTTCATGAATTCCTCATTAGTTGAGGATGCAAAATAGTCGTCAAAACATTTTAAACTCCATCGACGGAACCCATGATACAAATTGCTTGTATACTACATTCGATATTATCGATACCGGTATAAAGTCATATGTGTAATTTCTGAAATAATCCCCTGATGTGTAATATAATTAACTGGTATCCGCTCATTTATCAAAGTAACTGACTGCTATATTGTATGTTTACCGAATGCGATAATGTGGGCATTATTTGGTTAATCAATCATCATAACTGTCCGCGAAATATGAATATCAGGAAATATAAATCGATGTGATTAAAAAGTGAACACACCTCACATTCAAATCAATGTTTACGTACGTTAGATATTCCAGTAAATACATTGTATACAAATGTGTAAAACGATGACTACATATAACAATTATCATATTCTCGCACAACAATCTTGTAAAATAATTACTTGAACCAACTTGTTTCCTTGTCCGGGCACAACTCAAAATCATGTTCAGAAATATATTGTACGTCACTGACTTCAGAGGAGGGCTCTTACAGTTAAACGTTATGAATTTAACTTTATATTATTAAATGTATTGCTTGTTTCTGTGAGATATTGTTTTTAAACTAATGGTATTTGAATCATTTTCTGGTTATTATTTAAAAAATGCGATTACTATATAAATGAAACATGCACTATAACCGTGGTAACTAAACTTATTAAACTCCATCCGACCTTTTGTGTTAAGATAAGCAATCAGAAACGTGACACGACAGTTAAAGACTGTTGTTAATATTAAGTGATTTAATGTATGTCACAGGAGCATTGTAGTGTTGAAATATTGATATAAATTGTTACAGTAGCGGTTTATATCAATGAATCTCAGATTTAATAAGTTATTGGTACGATATTGAAGCTTCCTTCTTGGAATATTTCTTAGTTTAAATTAAAAGTTCATCAACAATTACATGTCATATTCTTTCTAAACTGGTAAAAGTGATGATGTACAGATGCAATATCAGCCATAAACAAACGCATATTAACAGTGATATCAATTTTATTATTGTCGTACTCTTCATATTATCAAGAAAA